GTTATTGCTGTGTTCCATCATTGGAGTTGCTTCATATCGCCAAAGAAGTATTACAGCATGTGCATAATACGTTTACGCATGCGCGTTTAATGTATAACGGACGGTATAAGCTAAGCTAAAATTACCTAATTCAGTTAATGTTGCAGATTGCGTTGTTCCTTAATCTTCGAATTGGATCCGGCTTATTATTTTTTGCAGACTGTTAGAGCAATTTTATAAAAGTAAGCTTGAACTTTCGATTATGTCAAATAGAATTTCCAATATATATTTACTAATAAGTAAAGGATCTACAAAGCGAAAGTACGTTTCGAAGTCCATTAAACAAAAAGTGGAATTGCAGCAAAAAGTGGATAAACGCATATCCTTCGTTTCTCTAACCATTCCGAAATCTGTTTATCAATTTCATGCTGCTCTGCGGAGCGGGGGGGGGGGGGGGGGACGCCGCGGCGCGCAATGAATTGGAAGTTGATCTGTCAGCACTATCCTTATCTTCAGGGCAGATTTTTATTTTATTTGGCTTATAATTCCTTACTAAATGTAGTATTTCATCTCGATGTACTCCGTCTTTGATATGATTTAAATCAAATTCCTCGTAATTATAATTCACTTCCGATAGTGAAGAAAGTGACAAAGAGGTTATTGAAAACGAAAAAATTTCGATTAACAAATTAGTCGGTATTCTCGACACAGCAATTATAGGACTTGAACAGCAGAACTTTGTAACTGAACAAGAAATTATGTCTGTTTATAGAATTAAAGAGAAAGTATTATCACATAAAACGAAGCAACTGAAACAACTTACACTGAAAGAAATGTTTAATAAAGTGAACAAATAAACATTAACCTTTTTTTTTTTTTGTAAGTTTTGATACCCTTTAGATCATAATTGTTCTTTATTTCATAAATTACGGTTTCATATTTTTAATTTTATAATTTCTGCATGCCATCTTACCAGATTTAAACGGATGATCTATAATCCGGAATCGCCGAAGTACCGACGAGTCCGGATTAACGACTTTTGACTGTACACAGATAATTTTTACACTAGATACAGTCATTTACTGTTAACAATATTTAAATTAAATATATTTTATTAATCATTCATGATCACTCCAATATTTTTTGGTATATCAGATGTAAAGTGATTAATGTCTTTTTTTATAATTATTATCAGATGTCATTTGCTATAAATAGAATACCAATAAATCTAATAAAAAATAATTTTATAATATAATTACTATACATTATTACAATATAACAAGTAATTTATTATCAAATGTGAATAAAACATGGAAATCGTAACTTATCTGGAATAAAATTTTAAAGATTTAAATTTTTAATTGCTATTGTACAGTATCTAGATTCATTATTAGCATGATGAAAATTTCATCAAGGAAAAAAAGTTATGAAAATCAGCATGTATGTATGTTCTTCGCATTGTAGAAAACGGCAGCTTCTATAGCCACCAAATTTTTGACACATCCTCCACCTGCAACTCGAAGACAGATTGTTTTCTATCTATTTTATGTCTGTGTGATCTTAATTAAATTTTGATTAACTAACTCAGTGATTTAAAAAATTATGTTGACACTCGGCAAAATATAAGGTATAAATATAAGATAAATATAAATATAAGATGTCTAAAATTTAGTCAGGAAAACCAAGGAAGTTAGAATAGAAGGAGGGAATTCTCAACTCAAACCATAAATCTTGTGGCCATGTTACTACTGTCGCTGTGACTTCTGCTAGGGGGTCTGTCATTGCAATTTTTTTTTTTTTTTTTTTTTTTTGAAGCATGTTATCTTGTGTTGCATATGGATGCACAAATCGATTTTCAAAAGATTCCTGGGATTACTTTTCACACGTAATTATTGAGTTTTTTTAATGCAATTTGATAAATATGTTGAAAAATATCACGTCAAGTTATTTTCTTTACATATATGAAAAAAATGGACTTAATAACTATCAAAATATATTTAAATACATTTTAATGTTTCTATTTAGCTGGAATCTTTGTTCCTTAACATACAATGATATATGCTAGGATTTAAAATGTATACTTTGAACGTTTTAGGCAATTCGTTTGATAATTTTCATGAAAAGTAGGACACCAATTGTTACTATTTTTATGAATTGTAAAGGTGCTAAATAAAGTAATGCTTTTCTTTATATATTAATTATTATTCATTTTTAAGTTTTGTGAACTGTTATGAATATAATTTGTGCATTTGATCAAGATAAACAGTTCTGTTGTTAAAAATTGTTTGCATAAACTTACAAATTTCTGGGCAGTATAGCGATAAAAGTAAAATATTTACACACTTAAACATGCGGAAAGGCATATCCAAAAATTTATATAAGCATATTTCTGTAATTCAGCTTAATTCAAGGCAATTTCTTCAAGACTCATGAATATGAAGCATGCATAAACTGAAGTCATTAAATTCACATAAATCTGTTTTATTTTATTAATATTTATTTTCTTCTTGTTGGTTCTGAAAAGGATCTATTTAAAATTTTCATTTACAAAATGCAACCTGTGACTATTTTTTTAGATAATTATCTGCTTTAAATATGTGAATTTCTGTTTTAGTGTACTACAACTTAAAGCAGAAGTATTTACACATACTAAAATAAAATAACTTTCCTTCCTATTTCTTAAACTTTGTAAATGAAATTACCGTAATTTCCGGTAGAAACGCCGGGGCGTTTACATGTTTAAAACTTAAATTTTCAGCGGGTACGGTGTTTAGGTGCACTAAAAGTAAAATATTTCCTTTGATGGTCATTGTGCATAGTTTGAATAACTTTGTCATTGTACATAGTTTGGATGGCGTTGTCATTGTACATAGACCACTCAGTTGCTCCAAAACAAAAGACCACTCAGTTGCTTTTTGCGAACGTTATTTTGTTTACATTCTTTCCCTTGAACGGACCTACATGCCTTATTCACCCTAAACGAGATCTCAGAATAATAACATTCTTCCCCCTTTGAAATCAGCATTCTCATCATTTTGAATAGTCTCTCTCCTCTGCCAATCGATGAATCTTCCAGGAACCATCCTCTCTCCACCTCTGCCTTTTCTGCAATATTTTTCAAAGGCGGACACGACTCCACCTGTCTCGCAATAACGAACTCTGACGTATTTCCCCTTCAGCATGAATCGATTTTTCTTGGCATTCTGCCAGATACAGATCCCATCAGTTTGAGTACAAATACTTGTTGGATAGTTTTTAACTTAACTTGTTGGACAGTTTTTAACTTTAAGTCCAAGTACTTGTTGGATAGTTTGTAAGAGCGGAATTTTTTTTAAAATGGCACCTAAACGGCACTGAAGCTATACTGCTGGTTTTAAGCTTAATGTAATTTCACGTGCTAAACAAATTGGAAATAGAGCAGCAGCTCGAGAGTTTGAAGTGGACGAGAGATGTATTCGACGTTGGAGAACTGAAAAAGGAAGAACTTAAAAATATGCCACAACAGAAACGAAAAGAAAAAATATATCTGTGCGTACTAGAACAACAGTCGGGCAACAATTACCAATGGACTGGCGGGATAAAAAGGCACCTTTTCTAAAATATGTGACAGATATTATTGACAAAAGAAAACTTCTTCGGTCACAGATAATAAATATGGATTGAAACGCCGTTAGCTTCCGACTCTCCTGCAAACAGAACTGTTGATGAAACTGGTGCAAAAAACTGTATCTGTGCTTACGACGGGGCATGAAAGAACGTCATTTACATGTGTGTTAGCTTGTGCCGCAAACGGTGACAAGCTAAAGCCGATGATCATTTTTAAACGGAAAACTATTCCGAAGGGAGATTTTCCTAATGACGTAATTATTTGTGCAAATGAGAACGGCTGTATGTGCGAAACAATCATGCATGAGTGGCTACAAAAAGTTTGGCAGTATCGTAAGGGATCTTTTTTCCAACCAAAAGGGTTATTGATAATGGATTCCATGCGTGCGCATTTACTTGAGTCAGTGAAAACCAGATGTCAAAAATTGTCTACGACCGTAGCAATAATTTCTGGTAGTTTGACAAAAATCTTACAACCATTAGATTTGTCAGGTAATAAATCTTTCAAAGCTGATGTCCGAAAGCGGTGGGAGTGTTGGATGAGTGAAGGATTGCATACGTATACCAAAAGCGGCAAAATGCGTAGAGCATCTTATGAAGAAGTTGCAAAGTGGGTAGGAAATGCGTGGAAATCGGTAAAAACATCGTCAATAATAGCAGGATTCAAAGAAGCTGAAATTATATCTTTAGATAAAGAGACTGTAAACCAAGAGGATGAATGCGACGATCTGGAAGACTTGGACTTAGATCAGGATTTACTAAATCTTTTTAATTCAGAAAGTGAAGAATCAGATTTTGATGGCTTCATATGATGTATAGTTTGCTGTAATTCCTTTTGTAAGTAAAATTTAAAATTTCCTTTTGTAATCCAAATTTAATAGTTCGTTGTTGCAACATTTTTTATAATATAGTCTGAGTATTACAAATATGGACTTCTTTAGTGGGTATATATAAGTATATTCGTGAACACAAATATATTTTCAACATTTCTTACCTTTAATTTATTTTGAGTTATGATTTCATTTCATGCAATTTTCTTAACTTATATGTCATATATCAAGACATAGGTTGAGATTTTGCAACTATACGGCCCACGACGATGTCACGCGCAATTAAATCTATTGCGGCGTTTCTGTGTAATTTTAATTTTTTCCCGCCATTTTTCTCGAGTGCGGCGTTTACGCTGATGCGGCCTTTCTTCCGGAAATTACGGTATTCTTTAATAAATTATGATAATATTATGAATAAATCAGAAATATCACTTTTCAAAGGAAAAATTGAAAAGCACACCCAACAGGTTGCTAATAAAAACCTAAACAAATCCTTGAAATATCCAAAAACATATTTTTAAAGGCTTTAATGTTTACACATGCATTAAGATTCTGAACTCTTTCATAATAATTTTCTGTACATAGTAAATTATGGATATCATCTTTATTACTTTAAAACAAAAATTTAACAATAGCAAAGCATTTCATTACAAATTAACGAAAAATACATGCACGGAACAGCTTAGAAACACATACGTTTCACTGCCGTACAGAATAAACATGGATCGCACTTTTTAGGTAGGGTTTCATTCCTCGATAGTGGAGGTAACTACGAACCCTCCCTCCTTCTATTCTAACCTCCTTGAGAGAAACTTACTGATTTAAAAGAAATGTGTTGTCACTCAACAAAGTGTAGGATATTTTTCTTTCAAATTTAATCACAGGAAAAAATTTAAAAGAAATATGTTGTCACTGCCTGAAAATATTTTTATCTTCCATGCGCCAGTGTGTTTTGATCCAGCAAAAAGTTAGATATTTAACTTTTTGTTCAAATTTAATCTTTAATTTATTAAAAAAAACTCGGCAATTTAAAAGCAAGATACACAATTCTTTATTATTAATTACTAGCTGGAATTATTAAAATCATTATACATGTATATTTCCTTTTGTATTATTTCTATTTCAGGCAGTGATCATGCAAGCAGGTAGTCACATATATATATTATTTAAATTATGATATTAATTCAAAAAGTTTGAAAATCACTCTTCTTTTACATAGTTAACATTTATAAAGATGTTTTGACGAGGAACAATTCAAAATCTCCTTTATGAAAGTCTGTTTAGTTATTTTTACAGTATTTTCAGTGTTTAGTGTTGTTAATGTTGGCTTTCAGAAAAGCTCTTTTAAATTTTTCTGTAAAACCAATGCCAACCTAAGGCTGAATTTTGCCTCAGTTGTGTCTACAGTTCAAGTTATCAGACATCATCAATTTACTTGTTATAATTATCAACACTGTCAGAATTTATATTACAGTACTACTCTTGTCTGAGAATTAATTTCTTGATAATATTAATGGACTTCAATTACTTTTATTCATATAAGCATACTTACATATCTACACATACGAATATACTTATATTATGCTTTATGCTCTTTAACCTCTGCCAAACACTCCTCTGCATCAGCCTGAGCTTCAGAATGATTTAATTTCTTAGCTAATCTGAGAGCAGTTTTGCATGCTTCTTCTCCTTTCTTTACATTTCCAGTCTGCAAATAAGTCGCACCTAAGTTGCAGTAAAAAGCTGGAATATCTTTTGAATCACTTTTAACAGATCTAGTTATGGCACTCTGAAATGCTTCTATTGCTGAGTCATATTCTTTTAATAAGCTATGTACACTACCAATGTCATTTAATAAGACAAGAGTTTGTGGATGTGATGCACCATTTATTCTTTCAGAAATATCAAGGGCTTTCAAAAAATTTTCTTTGGCATCTTTTAGCATTCCAGATGCTAATAAATATCTAGCATACCAATCTACACTCATGGCCCAAAGCAAAACTGTATCTTTTTGGTAATCAGATAAAGATTCAGCATCAGAGAGGTCAAAATTCTTTAATTTGTTTTGTTGAGTGTTGATACAAAATTTGAAGCCTTTCTCTGCCTTTTCTCTCTCATTTCTTTGACCATATATGGAGGCAAGTTTGAGTGAAATTTCTACAACAGAATTATCATCATAAGGTATGCCAGCTGCAAGAAGTTCTTTTGTAACTTGAATGAATAGTTTTTCAGCGTTAGACAAATCTCCTTTTTGAAATGCAACATTAGCAAGAAGGTCAAATATATATCTCTGTGCTTGCATGTCCTGTCGCTCTTGCGCCAATTTCAGGGCTAAATGAAGTATATTTTCTGCTTTATCATATTCTTCTTTCTGAAGACTTAAGACTCCTAACTTCATAACTGATATCATAGGATCTTCCTCTTCTTCTTTTTTAAGCCCAAGCCATGTTAAAATTCCGGCTAAAAGGACACATCTTCCTTTTGATCTAAATGAATAAATAAGAAAATTTTATAATTCAGCCACTTATTATCAACTGTATTTCAGGTACCACGAATCAAAGTAAAACATATATCATTCTTTAATTCGTTTAAAATTCACAATTTTATTCATTTTAAATATAAAATAATATTTTTTCTAATTTCAGAACATCTAGAATTTAACATTAACTGTTTAAACTTAATTTTGGCAGACTTTTTAATGAAGTTAATTTTAACAGTTAAACTAATAATAAGTTTTATATAATGTACTGTAAATGTAATTATTCCAATACAGATGTTTATTAATAGCAGCATTTAAAATTTTAAAACAAAGTTTATTAATTTCTCTGCCAATGTTATAAAAGTTTTATTTCATGACTATGATTTTAAAATTTCATACAGAGAATGACTACTACAGTCAAAAGTCTTTAATCCGGACATCCATAATCCGGAATGATCTATAAACCGGACTTAAAAGCTACAGTCAAAAGTCGTTAATCCGGACTCGTCAGGACTTCGGCGATTCCAGATTATCGATTTTTCCGGATTATAGATCATCAGTTTAAATCTCGTAAGATAGCATGCAGAAATTAAATAAAGAACAATTATGATCTAAAGGGTATCAAAATTTACAAAAAAAAAAAAAAAAAAACTTAATATTTATTTGTTTACTTTATTAAACATTTCTTTCAATGTAAGTTGTTTAAGTTGCTTCGTTTTATGTGATAATACTTTCTCTTTAATTCTATAAACAGACATAATTTCTTGTTCAGTTACAAAGTTCCGCTGTCAAGTCCCGTTAATTGCTGCTGTGTGCCGAGAATACCGACTAACTTGTCAATCGAATTTTTTTCGTTTTCACTAACCTCTCTGTCACATTCTTCATGTCTTTATCCATTTTTTGGAGCAATTCCACTTTTTATTTGTTGGACATCGAAACATACTTTCGTTTTGTAGATCCTTTGGAAGTTCCAGCATCGGAAATTCTATTTGACATAATCGAAATTTCAAGTTTACTTTTATAAAATTGCTCTTACATTCTGCAAAAAATAATAAGCGGGATCCAATTCGAAGATTAAGGAACAACGCAATCATTACATTAACTGAAATAGATAATTAGATAATTTTAGCTTACACCGTCCGTTATACATTAAACGCGCAGGCGAAAACGTATTCTGCACTTGCGCACACGCATATGCGCAGTAGTCAAGGTCTTACGCGCACGCGTAAAACGCCTGTGCGCATGTGCCAAAGCGGCGCATGCGCAGAAAGTTTTTAGCTTTGAGATCCAGATTATAGATCATTCCGGATTATGGGTGTCCGAATTAACGACTTTTGACTGAACAAACTTTCGGCGCATGCGTACACGTAATTGCGTTTACGCATGCGCATAATACCTTTACTCAGGCACATATACGTTTACGCGTGCGCATAATACGTTTACGCGTGCGCATAATACGTTTACGCATGCGCATAATACGTTTACGCATGCGCATAATATGTTTACTCATGCGCGTTTCATGTATAACGGACAATATAAGCTAAGCTAAAATTATCTATTTCAGTTAATGTTGCATATTGCGTTGTTCCTTAATCTTCTGATTGGATCCGGCTTATTATTTTTATGCAGACTGTTAGAGCAATATTATAAATGTAAGCTTGAACTTTCGATTATGTCAAAAAGAATTTCCGATTCTGGAGCTGCCAGAGGATCTACAAAGCGAAAGCATATTTCGATGTCCATCAAACAAAAAGTGGAATTGCTGCAAAAAATGGATAAAGGCATATCCTTTGTTTCTCTAACCATTCGGAAATCTGTTTATCAATTTCACGCTGCTCTGTGGGGGGAGGGGGGAGTCGCGGCGCGCAATGAACTGGAAGTTGATCTGTCAGCACTATCCTTATCTTCAGGGCAGATTTTTTTTTATTCGGCTTATAATTCCTTACTAAATGTAGTATTTCATCTGGATGTACTCCATCTTTGATATGACTTAAATCAAATTCTTCATCATTATAAATATCACGAATACACATCAAACAGTTTCTGGTTGCAATTTTCTAATTTCAACTATGCGTAATGTATGCTTTACGCATGCACGCATTGAAAGAAATGTTTAATAAAGTAAACAAATAAAAATTAAGCTTTTTTTTGTAAATTTTGATACCCTTTAGATCGTAATTGCTCTTTATTTGATAAATTACGGTTTCATATTTTTAATTTTATAATTTCTGCATGCCATCTTACCAGATTTAAACTGATGATCTAAAATCCGGAAAAACCGATAGTCCGGAATCGCCGAAGTCCCGACGAGTCTGGATTAAAGACTTTTGACTGTATTAGTATTTTATTCATTTCATAGCTACTGCGATATGCATTTTAATAATTTTATGAAGAAAATTACTACTATTAGTATTTATTAAATTCATAGCTGTTGGGATTTTTATTTGTTTACCTGGATTACAGATTACAAAGCCCCCCCCCTCCCAAAAAAAATTGCAGGATTTCACCTGACGTAAAATAATGCTTCATATTCATGAACGAATAATTAATTATCAAATGAATTTTACAGGATTTCACCTGATGTTGATTACTCAGTGAATGCTGCACATTCGCAAAGCAATGAATGGTTACCATGCAAAAACTCATTTATGCAGAGTGGATGGACTAAATAAACATTTACAAATTAATAACTGTCACATTACAAAATGTATATACAGTCAAAAGTCGTTAATCCGGACTCATCGGGACTTCGGCGATTCCGGATTATAGATTATCAGTTTAAATCTGGTAAGATGGCATGCAGAAATTCTAAAATTAAAAATATGAAACCGTAATTTATGAAATAAAGAACAATTATGATCTAAAGGGTATTAAAATTTACAAAAAGAAAAAGCTTAATATTTATTTGTTTACTTTATTAAACATTTCTTTCAATGTAAGTTGTTTAAGTTGCTTCGTTTTCATGTGATAATACTTTCTCTTTAATTCTATTAAACAGACATAATTTCTTGTTTAGTTACAAAGTTCCGCTGTTCAAGTTGTATAATTGCTGTGTCGAGAATACCGACTAATTTGTCAATCGAAATTTTTTCGTTTTCAATAACCTCTGCAAGCCATCTTACCAGATTTAAACCGATTTTACCAATTTTCTTCACTATCACTTTTTTACCGTCACTTTCTTCACTATCGGAAACGAATTATAATGACGAGGAACTTGATTTAAATCATATCAAAGAGACAGAGTACATCGAGATGAAATACAACATTTAGTAAGGAATTATAAGCCAAATAAAATAAAAACATCTGCCCTGGATAGTGCTGACAAATCAACTTCCAATTCATTGCGCGCCGCAGCGTTTAACCCCCCCCCCCCGCCGCAGAACAGTGTGAAATTGATAAACAGATTTCGGAATGGTTAAGAAACAAAGGATATGCCTTTATCCTTTTTTTGCAGCAATTCCACTTTTTGTTTAATGGACAACGAAACATACTTTTGCTTTGTAGATCCTTTACATATTAGTAAATATATATTGGAAATTGTATTTGACATAATCGGATGTTCAAGCTTACTTTTATAAAATTGCTTTAACAGTCTGCAAAAAATAATAAGCCGGATCCAATTCGAAGATTAAGGAAACACGTAATCTGCAACATTAACTGAATTAGATAATTTTAGCTTAGCTTATACCGTCCATTATACATTAAACGCGCATGCGTAAACGTAGTGCGCAAATGCGCACACGCATATTTGCAGCCGTAAAGGTCTTATGTGCACGCGTAAACGCGACGCATGCGCAGAAAGTTTGTAGCTTTAAGGTCCGGATTATAGATCATTTCGGATTATGGGTGTCCGAATTAACGACTTTTGACTGTAGAATAATTTTTATTATCAGATTTTAAAAGGAAAGATATTTACATTGCTTAACTCTTTCGCATCGAAGCTACCTGTAACGCCCGTTCATTCAGGCAACAGCAAACTGCCCCAACGCCTCGTTTATTTTCTACCTAGTTCTTTCCCCTCCACGTTAGTGTATGGCTCATTGGTTTCGCGAGTTGTTAAAAGACATGTCAATCATTCTTTTGAAGCAAATAAAGGAGAAATACGGAAAGCTATTGACGTTCGCAGGTGCAATCCGGCCCTAAGGTGAAACTGCACACAATGGAAGAAACCACAGAAAAACCTCCAAGAACAGCAAGGGGGAAAGGAAAACTATTCCAAGACAAATTCGTAAACACGGGCGTTTTCGATGTTTGTTGAAAACAGATTTGGTCGTCTCTCGATGCGAAAGAGTTAATCAGGGTTCGTACTTTTAAGGACCATTAATGAAAAAAAATATGGACCTATGAGCAAATAGGAACTTAATAAATTCAATTAAAATTATTATCTATGCTTGAGCTTCACTTTTGCAATACCCAGAACCGGATTTAGACTTGAAGTTATTTGAGATATGGGACCATTTAAGAGTCTGTTATAGTACTATATTTTAATTTTTTAAAGGCCTCCATGAAAATGGGGCTTAAGCTATAGCTTGTATAGCTTATACGTAAATCCTGCACTGGTAATACCATCCTAAAAATACAATAGATCCGCAAGTAGGATGCATTATTATTAAACATGAATTAATTAACACAATTATTGATAAGTTTGAGAATAAAATAAACTTTATGAAATTTACCAAGTAGCATTAAATATTTTACACTCATAATAGTTGGAATATTTGAAAGAAGATAAGTGACATTTTACTTACATTTTACTAACAGCTAGCTTTAGAATTTCTAAATTAGTTAGCTTTATGTTGATTTATTTTTTTTTTTTTTCAAATGTCTCATTTTGTCACATAGTTGCACAGTCTAGAGGTTTAGTAAATAACAGGTACATTTTATGTCATGTGGCATATGTTAAAATGAGAAGTAAGATCATAATCAACATAATTCATAACAAAAGACTGGATGTTGTCATTGCTGCTGCTTGCCTACAGAGAGAGCTGCTGATGGGAAGAAACCTGAAAGGCCTTTCGTAGGCAAGGCAAG